TTCTCAGCACTGAAGATCTGATAGAAAACATGTGATTTGGATCTCAACAGATTTGCACTCAAACATAATGAACAAAGTTTTTCTGGTAGTAGATTAGTCAATTCATAATTTAAGACCAGCTTGTAATTTTGTGAAAATAGTACCAAATCTTTTTAAGAGACCAAAAGAAATCACTGCACCAAAAGTAGCAGAATTAAGATGAAAGTCAAATTATTTCTCCTTACTGAGGGATAAGAAAGAATTTGGGTTACCTGCTGTATTTGATGTTACAGGCCTTGCAACAGCTTCTGGTTTAGTTTCACAGAGAAAGTCATCAATGGAGGGGCTCAGAAGGGGTCTGCTTTCTTGTTGCTCATTCACCAGCTAGCAACAAAAAATCACAGAGTCAAAGTGCATTGTTGGGATGCAGAATTTAAAGCACTATTTAAAAAAATAAAACATTTTCCTACAATAAAAAGAAAGAGTAAAATATGGCATCAATTAGGAGATGTACAAATAGCTCTGTGCTCAAAATGAGAAGCTTCAGTTGCTCTTTTTAGGCAAAATTATATTCCAGTTTTACAAATTGCACAAAAATAAAGCAGCAAGGTGTTTTTTTCTATAGCATGTATTATATGGTATTGCTTATGGGCTAAAATATTCAAGGCCTGATCCAACTCCCGTGCAGTCAATGGGTGAAGTTGGCCCTTGCTATCACCAGGAGACTAAGTAGGCCTTTTTTTAATATTTGGAAGTACTCTTTTTTTCAGCAATAGCATACTCCTCCACAGAGCTTCCACAGCACCATTTCATCTAGAAAGTGTGCGTTAGCCCATTAAACAATAACCCGCTGAGACATAAGACACCTCTCTGCAATGCAAAGACATAGGCATGACAGTGCATGGACCCTGGTGAATTCATGAACTTCCTAGGTGAGTTCTGGCTTTGTGAAGACTTTGTATTTATGAGCAGTTTTCCTTTTTATTGTAAATTGCATGAACGTGTTGTTTCTCTGCTGCCTGAAAGGAATCTCTATATTACACGCTATTTCACATATCAGGGATTAAAAAGAAAAAACAGCAAAATAGCGTCAGAAATAAAAGTATCCTCTCTGCCATCTATCCCCAGTTGTTTGGTGGATCAAGGCCTAAGCTGACATCACTAGGTGGACAGCTCATGATGTGGCCTGCATTTACTTTAATAATGGGAAAACATGTTTTCCCTCTGTCTGTCTCTTTTATCTGGAACTCTTTCAGCTTTACTTTTATCTTCTCTCCTCTGCTCCTCCTCCTCTCCATTCCCTTCTCTCTGCTTTTCCCTTGTTGAATTTTCAAAATTTTCTCTGAGTTGAACTTTTAAATTTAGGATGCTGGCAAAACTCATCCTCATTTGACCTCTATTAGTAGGCATTTAGCTATGCCAGGATTGCCTCTAAACTTATTACAGCAAAATACATTACATTCAGTGTTGTTTGGCACTTGGTTTTTGTATTACAAAGCCACTAGTAAATAGTGGAGCTGTTGAAATAAAAAGGAGCATGTTTGTTATTTTCGTGTGTCAAACATTTACGCTGGTACCTAAAGCCAGCTGATTGTATAGTACGTGCACTCATTCTTATGGCTGGAACTTCATCTTTTTGCACTGAAATAGCAATTTACATGAGTAGCATGGAAGACAGATGAGTGATTGCTTGCCCAACTGTGTGTAGCAGAACGTGCAAATGCGGACACTTCCTTCAGAAATCTGGCAATGATACAGCTTCCCAAATTCTAATTCTGCATGTGCTAAAGCCAGAATGCAGATGCACATTACAAGGGAATTAATCCTGTGTTTTTTAACTCTTTCCAAATTAATCACTCAGCCTAATGTCTCATTCAACACTGAGAAGGTACTTGCTAAATTTGGTAAATCTCGATGTTTGACTGGAAATTGTGTTTATACCACCTGCACACCTTTGATTTTCATTAAAGGTGGCTCTACTTGCCCACATTATCTCTAGAGGTACACTTCTACCTAATACTGATATTTAAGACTTATGAGGACCTAGTATGTCTCTGCATACTCCACATATGTATTTTTCTATCTACAATTTGGTAATAGCATTTTAATCATTTCTACTGGAGAAAAAAAATGGAGGTGGACGCCTAGTTAATCCTTACCCAAATTACTCTGAATCCTTATGCAAATTAAAAATTTTCTTTCTCTGTGATCAGCTTCAGAAATCAGCCCAAATTACTCTAATACATTCTCCCTTGCGATTACTCATCCCATTGTACAAACTAGCATCAGTAACAGCTGCTGGACTTTTGCAATGGTGAAGTTGCATATCCTGGTGAATGTAACATCCAGCAGAAAGATTGTGAAAGCCACTACGTCAGCTGGATCTTCAATTATTTATTCTGTGATATTAAAGAAAAGTCCTTTGCCATTTGGGAGGAATGAAAGCAGAGATTTTGTAGGAATCATTGTAAATATAAAAACTCCATGGGAAATACTGCTGCTGTTTAAAGGTGCTATAGGATACATTATCATGTAGGATTTGGAAGCTTATCAAGTTTCCCATTACATTCCATGGGACTTTTCTTTAATAAGAAAGAATGGGGGGAGATGGGAGGGAAGAAGGATTATGAGAACCAAAACAGCCAAGATCACTAATTGGAGCAGCAAAGAATAGAAGATCTGAAGACTCACTGGAGAGGCAATTTATTGCAAACCTATTGGGAGGGTAAGAGGATAAACTCTGGGAGGAGCAGCAGTAATGCTGAGGATCAGAATCATGGATGGGGTAAGGACTAAGGACTATAATCCAAAGAGATCTGAATTTCTCCAAGGTTCAGCTGTAGTATTAAGTAGCAGATATCTGGCGAACAATTCTTCTCACAGCTGGCTACCACATCCCCAGGCATTTTTTTATTACGTTGTTTATATAAGGAAGATCTGCTCAGCAACAGGCCTTCATTAGTTTGGTACTAGCTGTGCATTGCTCACAGTCCCGTGATAAAATTTTGCAACTGGAAGACTGATGGTGTTTTCCACTTCATTATAAGTTTTGCCAGCAAACGCCAAGATTTAATTTTCACTAAGTTGTTTCATCTTTCTGCTGCATTTACAGCATTTTTGTTTAATTAGAAAACAAATAGGTTCGTCTCTGGCACACTCACTCTGTGAACATCTACACTAAACTCCTTGGAGACGGCCACCCAGATGATCAGATAAATAGAGAGCCTGTTATACAGGGAGACTGAAAGAGGTTGGCTTGCTTAGGCTAACAAAATGAAGACTAGGAATATAATTGTTCTTCATGTATACATAAAAGGACAGCGGGAGTTAAACAACACTTCAGAAAAGCTTTTTTAACTATTGAAGAAGGCTGGCACAAGAACAAAAATATATAAACTGGCCATGAATAGATTTTGCCTGGATATTAGATGAATCTTTCTAACTACCACAGCAGTAAAGAGTATGAACAGTCTTCTTTTAGGGCAGGGGGTCAGAAAGCCTAACTGTGTAAAAGGGCGTTTGATAACCTTTCTACATGGCTTTTTATGATGTGATTGCCTTTGAGAAGTGGACTGCAGTCCAGAGGATCCCCTCCAGTTCTCTGTGCTATGCTCCCACGACTAACAACTCAAAGCTGTAGGAATGTCTTCTTTTAAGGATTATTCCTGGGAAAAATAATCTACTTTCCACTGAAATATCTGGGTCAAAACAGATGCAAAATACATGATCAAGCATACTAATTCTTAGTAAATACAAGCTACATACGTATAGCAGTATAACATACTAGATACGTATTTTGGACACGAAGCAGGCATTTCACAATGTATCAGACCTCAGGGAGTTTAAAGATGACACGAGCTGATCTTTTTGGTGTAGGTAAGTGGGCAGCGGGGTGGGTTTCTGACTTCAGCGTGGGTGCGATGCTAAGTCCACTGCCTCAGGCTTCGAATTCCATTCTGCTGCCTCGCCTATTGGAACAAATTTATCCCTGGTCTAACTCTGCTTAAGTTATTAGAGTTATATCAGGCATGAATTCGGAGCAGCGTTATAAAACATTCATGAGATGAAAACTATTATCTATATTGAAGTAATAATTTATGGTTCTCGAGCACCTTTCAGGATGAGTATCACAGAACGCTTTAAAACATTCATGAATCAAGCCTGGCACCGCTGCGTGGCTGAGAAGTATTATCTCGACAGATAGGAAAAGCAAAGCGAAATTAAGGAAGCTGACCAGCGTCAGGCAGGGCTGGAGGACGCGGCGCTGGGCGCACAACGCAGGCGGCCGCTGCGGCATCCCTGCACAACCTTTCCGCGTGCAGTACTGCCAAGCTAGATAGATCAAGTCTGTGAAATTATTGACTTCTGAATACTAATGTAGCTGGGGAGTACCATAAATTCCGATAATGTTGCTAAGAACTTAATTCTTCTTCATAAAATCTATTTTAATTAAAACACACTCCTTGAACTGATGGCTATAGAAAATTTGTAGGGGGCGATACTCGCTCCTACTAATACATCTGCAAAGTCTCAACAATAATAGAAAAGCCATCCTTTTAGAGTCAGATGAATATTCTGTGACTGATTCCTGCTATTATTTTATGTAGCCGCCTTTCACTGCCAGACAGAACAACAGGAAAAGGTGCTCCGTCTCACCCGACTAATGCTATCGTACATTTTTGTTCCTAGAAGAGTAACATGAGGATTTTGGTGCTTTGGGAAAGACACAGGCTGTTAAAAAACATTACCTGGTGGCTGATAACAGCCCCGCTGCTTAAATACCTTCGCAAAGAGGAGCGTGTGCCTCAGGGCTGAGAGAAGACCCAGCAGCAGTGCCAGGGCCGGGCATGGCCGCACCTCACACACAGCCATACCCTCACGCGCCTTCCCTTCACAGCTGCTCCCCATTTCCCTTGCCCTGCCGGGACTGTCCCCAGCTGTGTGCAATTACTCCTGAGGGGGTTTATCAGCTGTCACTGGTAAGTCTCCCCTTTCCCCAGTGCTGGGGTGAGACCTGCTGCCATGAAGGCAGGAGGTGGAGGAGGACCCTCTCAGCCCCAAGGGGAGCACAGGGCTGCTGGGGTCAGTGTGAACCAGAGGAACGGGGCTGGAGTGACTGGTCTGGGGTCCAAAATGAAGCTGTGGGTGGGAGGGGAGGCCCTACTGTGGAAAGAGGGACAGTGAGAGTCAGGGAAGGGTTTTTCTTCCCTCTAGCCAGCATCTAGCCTGGTTGCAGCTTCCCTCAGCCATTTGCCTGACACCTCTTCCCCCCTTGTGGTCCCCCTTTTGCTGCGTTGTCCCCTTGCCCTCTGTTTGGCCAAGCCCTGTCCTGGGGGGGGCGTGGTGGGGTCTGGCCTTGGGGCCTCTCCTTGGCCGGGTGCAGA